CTTTTATCTATAAAAAGCAATAGTTAATAAAACCCCGAACACTCACCTGAAACCCACAGTCTCTCCCTTTCCCCCAAGTCAACGATATCCGTAAATATCGGCACAGACTCTAGATATCGAACAAACATCAATCAATCTAATAATCTCTCTCAAAGTCTTGTTGCGGCATAAATCCTCTAATTCGCTAAAACAAAGCAAAGTCGCAACATCACAATAACGATAAAGCAACAAATGAACATCTTTTTTTGGACCTAACGCTAATTACATGTACATGTAATTCGAGGATCAACACCAAATTAATACCGATCATGTAACGGTAAATCCACATTTGGAACTCGCAGATATTTTTACATATACGTAACGGTAAATATCGATCATGAGAACTTAAAGATGCTGCTTTGAGATTTTGGACTTGTCCAAATGACGCAGCAATGTCCAAAATAGCTTAATGGCAATACTGCTGATCATTAAATTTATCTGGACGAGACAGAGATATTGGTGGAGATACTGCCATTTAAAGATATTCCGATTTTTAATATATAGATTTGACTGTATTATCTATTGGACATTTGATAATCAAATCATGATGGTACAAAACCTTTGTATAAAACCTCTTGATAATTTTTGGTTTTTGGCTATTGGACAATTCCCAACACTGATCTAAACTCATATTTATAAATTCAATAAACTTGAGGCTGATTGAATTTATCATGATTAGAAGGTGGAAGGAGCAAACCTAAAATTCTCACATCCCATTGGCTCTCTTTATTTATGCTATATAATGTGATATCACGTGAACACTAATTATATCCGAGAAGTCTACGGACAGTGCTTCGGAACTCTGATGAATCGCGTGGCCTTTGACACAAGAAAATCAAAAATGTGAAAAACAGATGTCAAAATCTAGTTTGAAGTACTAATAAAAAATGCCAGAAAAGCAAATTTACATATAGCTTTTTCCTCAACTCTGATCCTAACCCTAATCCAAACGTTAAAATAACCTTTAACGTCAATTTTTCGTGATCATGTGAACATGGATTTTTTTGATTGGCCAATTTATTCACGTGATTGTTGTTTGATGTAGGGTTTTAAAGAGGGAAATGTTAAAATTTAAACAAACTAAAAATTAAATACAAATTTAATCTATAAATAGCTTTTCTTTGATCATATTCTCGATGAAATTTTAGATCTTGCTTCTTAGATAAGAAGTTTATTGAATTTATAAAATGCAACATATTGAGGAGTGCACCATATAAAATAACATCTTTTTTTGCTTGAAGAATATTATATCCATATTGAGTCTAATAATATGAAAATATTAATAAAATTCAGTTTTTTCAAATTAAGGTAAATAGTGTTGGTCTATTAACTAAGTCATAGAGTATTTTCAATATGATCTACATGAGTCATATGAGCAACGTCGTATTCGTTCCAAGATTGCCAGAGTAATGTGCACTTGGTCACCCTTTCGTTTCCGACAGTGCCGTCTGCACAAAGCTCGCGAGTACCCTTGCTGTCAAGTAGTCATGTGCACACAAGCAAAACCTGTGGATCTTGTGGCTAAATTCACGAAAAATTGGGCGAATCCAAAATAATCCGCTGCCCGAACTGCAACTTTGAACTTAACAGGGACAGCAATGGCGCCTGCAACATTCTCTTTCGCTTCATTACCCTACATCAATGTTTTTCACAGGAAGAGCCAGTTCGCACCAGCGTTGGGGCCTACCCCTGGGACCTTAATATGTATGGTCCTTGCAGAACTTGTACATTTCTTATTTGGATATGATCAGAAATGCGAGGTTATAGGTTTAATTGTAGACGACTACATTATATCAAAATAACACTGATATTTCGATTGTACTCTTTGAAGTGGGGGGAATCGATTAATCATTTTAAATAAATTCGATTAATTGATTTCAATTTGAGAGTCGATTCTCAACCCAAAATTGCTTCTCAAGTATATCCTATTATTATTTTTTATTACTAAGGATCGAAATACCTTCAGATGTAACTGATATATGATTGGAATTATCAAATATTTTACGTGTAAGTTCTGGTATAGGAATAGGAATCGATTCTCAAGCACAATTACGACGATGATGACGACGGCATCAATAACGACGACGACGGCGATGACATAACTGGTCTTTGGTTTTGTTTTTCATTGCATGTTGATTTTCTCTCTTTTAGTTAGAATAGTTGAAGTTGTACTTTGATTAGTTAAAATCATACTTTGATTAGTTGAATTCGTAGAGGTAAAGATACTATAAAGGCAATTTAAGTATTTTGATTCTGTATCCGTTTCATTACATGTATTTTCTATTGTTTCATAAAGATCATTCAAGTTGGGATCAATATCAATCATTTTTTGCATTAGTATCCCTATCAGAGTTATTAAACTCTATATTGGCGATAATTTCTTGGTTTTTATCAATATTAGAATTTATGTTGAATGACGGATTAGTTTGTCGTGCATGAGCCCGAGATGTAACATTTTTCATGTTTCACAAGTGAAAATCCAATTACATGTATTTACACGATTTATGCAATATCGTTATCGCTATTAATCGATTTATCTTTAAAATCGATTCTCAAATTCTAGAGAATCGATTCCTATCCCTACTTTGAAGCGTATCAGCGATAGACTTTTATCAAGTTTTCTTCTCGTTAGATTATTATTATTCATATATTTCTGCTCACATTTGGTCTAGGGATAGGAATCGATCCTCTAGAATCGATTAATAACAATAATGCATAAATCGTGTACGTGAATACGTACATGCAATTGGTAAAACATGCAAATGATATAGCACACGACAAACTACGTACTCTGTCATTGTTAATATTGATAATAACCAAGAAACCATTGCAAATATAAATTTTAATAACTCTGATAGTGATACTAATGCCAAAAGTACTGATATTGATCGGAATCTCAATCTGATGACAATACTTAAATTGCTTCTATCTCTACAAATTCAACTAATCAAAGCATAATTTCAACTAATCAAAGTACAACTTCAACTATTCCAACGAAAAGGAAAAAAATCAACATGCAATGAAAAACAAAACCAAAGACCAGTTATGACATCGCCGCCATCACCGTTATTGCTGTCGTCGTCATCATCATCGTCGCACTTTGTGCTCGAGAATCGATTTTGGTTGAAAATCGATTCTTATCTCTATATCCAATTCTTTCACAACTTGCACGCAAATATTTGACAATTCCTGCCACATCAGTTCCACCTGAATGTCTCTTTTCAGATGTGGGAAGCTTAATTACACATGAACGAAATCGATTAAATAGCTGTTTGGTAGAACTGACCTACTTGAGAATCGAGAATCGATTCTCAAATTGAAAATCGATTAATCGAATTTATTTAAAACGATTAATCGAAACTATTAATCGAGTTTAGAATCGAGAATCGATTCATATCCCTAATTTGGTCCTTTATTTATAAATATTAATTATTAATATTAATTAGTAAGTATCAAGATTTTATTATTTTAATTAATTTGATGAATATAGATCTAAATATTACAAAAAAGATATTATTTATTTGTATATTAATCTATACTAAGAATTAATATAATTTAAACTAATTAATAATATTATATTAACTTAAGAATTTATAATAATAATTTCTAGATAAAGTTTATAAATTATAAATTTAAATTATAATATATTTCTTTTCTTTAAAATATAAACTTTTATAAGAATTAAACTAATATTATTAAGTGAAAATATTCAAGAAAAAGCTTCATCTTTAAACTTTTAGAATAATAATACTATATTAAATCTTATTATATTCACCAATAACAAGTTATAAGTAATATTTTTGGCAGATATTAGTTCTTTTAAATCTATTGATTTGCAAAGAACAAAATCTTGATTTATTAAGTATTTATCAAAATCTTTAAATTTAAAATTCTAACTTCATGTAATCAAGGAATAAAATATATATTTTCATTTTCTAATAGAGCTAAAATAAGAACAAGTAATCAAAGAAAAAAGAAATCATATTGTACAGAAATTATTCAATCATATTCTTTTCTGATAAAATTTTATATGTACTTGAATATCAAGATTTAAATATATTAATTATTCAATATATATCTGTTAATTATTATTATTATTATTATTATAGTATTAATATTATTATTGTTATTAATAATATTATTATTATTTTTTTAATAAACAGTAGAGTTTTAATTAAATATAAATTTGAAATATAATAATAATACTAGTAATAATAGTAATTATTAATAATAAAAGTAGTGATACTAATATTAATAATAATATTAGTAATAATAGTAATTATTAATAATAAAAGTAATAATATTAATATTATTATTATAATAATAATTTTTTGATAATAAGAATAAATTATTTTTTTTCTTTTCAAAAGAGAGCAAATCTTGTAAAAACATATATAAATTCATCAAAATTGAGTTATTACTTTAATATTTATTACTTTTTGTGAAGAATCTTAATAAATTTGAATTATATAAATTTATAACAAATAATAAGCACCAAGTATTATAATTAGATTTTTGTTATAATACAAAAAGAATAGTTTATATTAATTAAATAATTATTATTAAAATATTATTTTACTATTTCTTAAATTGTCTCTTTTAGTATACAAATTTGTATGCTAAAATAGCTAAAAAAAAACTAAATTTAAAAAAAATAGAAAGTTTTATTCGAATTAACTAGAATAATTTCAAATACTTGAATTACATGACATACTCTATAACCACAATTTGATATATATTATATAATATAAAAATTTAACTATGTTATGTTATAATTATAACATATTTTATATACATAATTTTTATGCAACTAAGATATTTATAAGCATCTAAATCTATAGTATTTGAACTAAATAAATTATAAATTGTTTTATTTATTAATATAATATTTTAAAAAACAATTTTAGTTCATATTATAACAAAAAGATATATTGTATACTACATATAATAATTAACTTTAATTTATAGCTCATATTTAATTTTTTTTTGCTTGCCAAGTATATTATTAATATATTTTCTGTTGTTCTCTTCATTCTATAAAGTAATTTTCAGATATTAATTATTAATCTAAAAGCTCAAAATACTTTGTCATTTTATTTTTTTGTTAATTTTATTTCTTTTGTTATTTTATTTCTTTTTCTGAGCTATTTTTCAGTTGAACTTTATTAGAATCATTAGCAAAATTAATAAGATTCCAAACAAGTTTATAATGAAATTCTTTGTATTCTTATATTAATCTTAAAGTTCAGATAATTCAATATATTAATAATTATAATATTAAACAATCAAAAAAAAGCAATATTCAATTTCTTTATATTATTTGTTGTATATTATAATATAATTACAGTTAATTAGTAATATTCATACTATTCATATTATAATTATAATAATTAATTAACTTTAAAATTTTTAATTCTTTTTTTGATTTAGAATCAAAAACTGCATATATCTTAGTTGTATTAGTATTTGTTTCTTTTAATTATCATTTCTTTTATATTACCTTTCATTCTTTATCAACAAGATTATGAATAATTGATAATATTGTAACAAATTTGTTATCTTATTAAAAAATAGTTGATAATTCATTTATTATAATATTAGAATGAATATTTCAATTAAGTTTAATATTGTTAAAAGTTTGTTCACTAATCATTAAATTAGCTTACAAACGAGAACCTGGATTGGGAGAGGATATAAACTGATAAAGAAAATATTAAAAAGAAAAGAGG